GCTGTCCGAGGTGTTGGTCCATCTATGGATCCTAAAGGTGGGGTTCCTTTGCTGCGAGAGCATAAGTTCAGGAGGAAGTCTCCAGGCGTCGAAGTACTTAAGCTTTGAAGGAGCCCTTCCAAGAACCCACTCCTGTACTTGGGCAATACAGTCTTGAAGTAGTCTCCCTGAGTCTTTGCTGATGTTTTCATGGATGCACCAGTTTCTTTCCTTCCAAATTTGGTGGGAGATGATTCCAGGTATGATACCTTTGAGCCATCCTTCTAGAGTTTGGTTATGGTATTCTGTCCACCATTTGTGGAGGTAGGCTCTCACACCGTTTGTTGCTTGCCACGGTATTTTGAAAATCCATTCGAAGTAGCTCCAAATGGGTTTAGCGTAGGGGCATTGAAAGAGAGTGTGATAGTCTGTGTCACTATCCCTTTTGCAGAGATGGCATATGGAAGGCAATGAAGTGATTCCAAATTTCCTCAAATGTGCAGGGAAGGGTAGCAGTTTCTGGTGAAGGCGCCACTGGAAGAAGGAGATTTTTGGAATTTGCTTCATGTTCCAGATGATTTGCATATGTTGGAGAGGTTCGACATCCTCTTCCTCTTCCTCAGGTTGGATTGCAAGGTAAGCTTCTTTGAAAGTAATTTGCCTATTTCTGAAAAAAGCTTCTTGGTCTTCTTCTCCTGCAAAAAAAATGTTAGTGGTTTTTTCATGAATAGAGCAAATTCTTTTCCATATGGTAGAGTCAGTAATTTTTGGGGTGAAGTTGTTGTTTCTGGGATATCTCTCTCTCATAAAATGGCTCCAAGTGGAGTTGTTAGCATGATAGTTCAACCAAAGTTTTAGGGTGAAGGCCTCTTGGATAGCATCCAAGGATCTGACTCCTAGACCTCCCTTGTCTTCTGTCAAGCAGATTCTATCCCAAGATGCCCAATGATAGCTATCTTTCCCTTCTGTGTGACCCCAGAGGAAGGTGCACATCTTGTTGTGAAGTAGATGGATGATAGATTTAGGGAGTTTGTTGACTGCTAGGGTGTGAAGGGGAATGGAGTTTAGGTTGTGTTTGAGGAGGATAAGTCTGCCACTGTGGCTGAGGAGTCTGCCTTGCCAGCCCTTCAATTTATTGTTAAATTGATCAATGAGTGTTTGGCAGTAGTGAGCTCTGTTAATCCCTCTAAATATTTGAACACCCAAATATTTGAAGGGTAGAGTACCATGGTTCATTCCAAGGGTGCTGCACATGTAGTTGATTCGGTGGTTGGGAGTTTTAGGGGGGGTGAAAAAGTTGCTTTTATCCATATTGACCTTTTGACCTGAGCACCTTTCATAGTTCCTCAAAAAGCTGTGAACTTGTTTAAGATTAGGACCAGAGCCATTGGTGAAAAGAATAAGATCATCTGCAAAAGCAAGGTGCGAAATAGGATGGTAGTTTCTTCCCAAGTTGTAGCCTGCAATTTTCTTGGTGAGGACAAGTTTGTTCAGAGTTCTACTGAAACCTTCTGAGGCAATGATGAAGAGAAAAGGAGATAGGGGATATCCTTGTTTTAACCCCCTGGAAGTCTGAAAAGGTTTGGTATTCTTGCCATTGATGTTGATAGAGAGAGAGGTAGTGGCCAAGAGGCTGTGAATAAGGTGTGTGGTTTGGTTTGAGAATCCAAATCTCCTCAAGACTTCAAGTAGATAGTCCCAGGACACTCGGTCAAAAGCTTTAGACATGTCTAGCTTGATGGCCAGATTTCCCCCCCCCCCTGCATTTATTAGCAAGGCCATGGAACATTTCTTGTGCAATGAGGATCTGATCTTGAATAAGAGTGTCTTTCATGAAGCCAGCCTGTTCAGGGCTGATGATTTTGGGTAGGAGAGGGGACAGTCTTGTAGCCAAGATCTTAGAAATGGTTTTGGCAATGAAATTGAAGAGGCAAATGGGTCTGTAGTCAGAGAATTTTGAGGGGTGTTCAGTTTTGGGAATAAGGATGATGGTGGATTGAGTGAGGCTTTTGGGAGGGGGAATGCCTAGGAAAAACTCTTGGCAAGCTTTCCACAAATCTTCTTTGATGGTATCCCAGGTTACCCTGAAAAAATGGCCAGTGAAACCATCAGGTCCTGGAGAGCTGTCTGGGCAGAGGTCCCAGATTGCAGTTTTAACCTCTTCCATGGTGGGGAGGCTGCAAAGGGAGAGGTTGTCATTAGGGTTCAGGGTGAGGGGAATATTGTCCAGGATTTCTGGGCATAGGTCAGTTTCCTCATGTGTGAAGAGGGTATTGAAAAAAGAGGTGGCCTCTGAAGCAATGTCATCCCACTCAGTAAGCCAATTGTTATCAGTGTTCCTGATTTTTTGAATCCTTTGAAAGTTTCTTTTGTTTTTGACAAAGGCTTGGAAAAACTTGGTGTTTAGATCCCCCTCCTTTACCCATTTCAGATTGGATTTTTGCTTCCAGTAGGAATATTCTATGGCAAGGCATTTATTAAGATCTGATTTGGCTTGTTGCATCCTGGTGTTGTTGTCATGAGTTGGGCTGTCATTGTAGGCTTCTTCAGCTAGTTTGAGTTTATCCTCCTGCTTAGTTCTGTTCTTGAGGATGTTCCCAAAGGTATTTTTGTTCCAGGCTTGAATGACTTTCCTCAAATTCACCAGCTTGTCCATTAAACCTCTCATTCCCCCTCCCCTGTAGGGTTCCCAATTGTCTTTAATAAGAGTGAGGAAAGAGGGGTTGGCAGTCCAACAGTTTAGGAATTTAAAGGGAAAAGGACCCTTAAAATTACCATTAGTAATTTTGAGGAGGATTGGGGAGTGATCAGAGCCACCTTTGGCTAAGTGTTCAGAAAAGATTAGGCAGTTAAGGTTGTCCAGGTGGGAGTTGAGGAAGAGTCTGTCTAATCTCCTCCAAATCTTTCCCAGGCTTCTAGACCCATGCCAAGTAAAAGGAGAGCCAGAAAAGGGGGGCTCAATCAGACCATTTTGAGTAATGCAAGTGTCAAATTCCATAATACTAACCATGCAGGGGGTGCTTTTACCCTTGTGATGAGAGAGTGAGCTGATAGCATTGAAATCCCCTCCTAGGAGCCATGGTTCATTAATAGATCCAGAGAGGGTGGAGATGCAGTGCCATAAGTCCCTTCTTTCTTCCTTTGTGTGCTTTCCATAAATGGTTGAAATATGAAGTTTTGTTTGCAGGGCTTTGTTTGTGAAAGTGAGGTGGCCCAGCTGAGTGTATGAGAAAGAGGATTCCAGTGTCAAGGAGTCTGAGTTCCAGAAAGCCCAGATTTGATTGTTGCAGAGTTGAAGAGCAGAGTCAAAACCCAGTCCAAGCTGAAATTGGGTGAGTTTATTGCCAGTGCATTTAGGTTCAATGATAGCCACAAAGTGAATATGTAAATCTGTGATGAGGAATTTTAATCTTGGGAGATTTGAGGCTATGCCTCTAATATTCCAAAAGAGGACATTCATTGTTGAAGGAGGGAGAAAGAATTGTGAGAAGAAACCTTTTCTAGGAGCCTAGCTGATCTCCTTTTGGTTTCTAAATCCAATGTTCTGATTGATGTGTTTGGTTCCTTGTTGGCAGGTTTGGGACATTTTCTGGGAAAAGTTTCTCCTTCTGAGTGGTAGTGTTCATGTTGTGGGTTGGGCTGGTCTGCCTTATGGAGAAAACCTTTGAAAGTTTCATCTCTACCTTGTGCAAAGATGCGGAAAAGGTTATTAAAAATCTCCTCTTGAAAGTTGTTCTCGAATAGTTCATGATCAGCAGGGAGAGAGGGTGGGGTGTTGGGAAGAGGATTAGGGATGAGAGAAAGGGACTGATTAGAGGGGGGTTGTGCTGGGATCTGGATGGGGGTGGAAGACTGGGCAAGAGGTGGGACGGTGGGAGGGGTGGCTTGATTGTGATTAATTGTTTGGTTGGATGATTCAGATCTCAGGGTGTGAGTAGTGGACACTGGGATTGGGCTCAGGTTGTCAGAAGAAGACATATGAGAAGTAGGCACTGGGAGGGCTGCAGAATTAGGTGTTGAGGTGGTATTTGTCAGGTTGTTGTTGTTGGTACTGACAGGCCTGTTGGCCTGTGGTTTAGTGGAGGGGGTAGGGACAGTGGGCTATTTGGGTGGTAGCGGCTTGGAGGGATTGGTTTGTAGCTCTTTAGAGGAAGTATCACTGTGATGGGATTGTTGACTGGGAGAGGGTGTTTGGTTGCTGTTTGGCAGGGGAATCTTAGCCATTGGAGGAGAGAAGTGCTTGCAGGAAGCTGAATGTCTATTAATCCCTTTGCAGATTTTACAGAAATCAGGGAGGTTTTCGAATTTTGCTTGCAGAAGTAAGGGAGTATCTCCATTTTTAACATAGAAGGAATTCTGAGGGAGGCTGGAAAGGTTCATTTCAGCACAGAATCTGGCCACTGAAGGCCTACTGAAGTTTTCTGTAGTTGAGTCCAGTTTAATAGGTTTTCCAAATATATTTGCAATAGCCATCAGTGCTCTATGATCATGAAGGTGAATGGGCAGGTTTGCAATGGAAATCCAGACAGGAATGATAGGAGTTACCTTATTGGGGTCAAAATCAGTGGTCCATTTGGTGATGTTCATGGTTGCTCCTTGGACATTCCAATCTTTGCGCAAGAATAATCTTTGGTAATCCTTTTCAGACGAGAAGTTGATGAGGACATGAGCAGGGTGGAGGAGCCCAACAGAAAAACCCACAAAGCCTATTTTTTCCAACCATTTCCTGATGATCTCCAGGGGTGGCCTTTTCCCAAAGAAGCTGCCCACCAGGGCAAATTGAAACCTGGAAGCCAGGGAAAGGACTTCTTCATTAGAGAAGGAAATGCAAGGCAAGCCTTTGAAATTTTCAATCTGCTTGGTATGAATTTGTGGTGAAGAAGGGCAAACAGCTTCCTTGAAGCTTTTGGTGGCAGGAGTTGTGACAGAAGACGATGGAGGAGTAGTAGCCATAGCTGTGGACGACGACCCAATGGCCGCCGCCCCTAACGCGGTGGACATGCACGAGAGAGAGTTTAGAGAGAGATTGTAGAGAGAGAGAGCTATATATATATATAGAGTATATATATGTATATGTATATATATATATATATATATATATATATATATATATATATATATATAGGGATTGACTCCAGTGAGATGACACCTTACGGTGAGATGACATGGTTCGATCAGATGACACAAAGCTCACCACTGGTCACTGCAAAGCTCACCAAAGACAACTACAAAGCTCACCAAAGTGTAAGGCAAAGCTCACCATATTTTTTCAACACTTTGAATTTTTTTCCCAAAAAAAAATCAAAGGAAAGGGTGCTAACTGGACTTTGACTGCATTGACCGCCAGCATTGACCGCCGCCTGCCACCGGCCGCCGGTCGCTGCCACCGCCGTCGCCGGCCGTCGCCGGTCGCCGCCCCCGCCGCCGCCGGTCGCCGTCTGCTGCCGCCGGTCGCCGGTCTCTGTCGCCGGCCGCTGCCGCCGGTCGGCAGAATCCGGTCACAGCCGCCGCCGGTCGCCGGACTCCGGCCGCCGGTCGCTGGACTCCAGCCGCCGGTCGCCAGACTCCGGCCGCCGCCGCCGAGCTCCGGGCGCCACTGCTGCTCCGCCGCCCTTGACCAGTGGTTGATCGCTGTTGTTATTTTATTTTTAATTAATTTTTTAATTTTTAAAATTTAAAAAAAAGTGAGTTTTGGGGTTTAAAGTGGTGAGCTTTGCTTTATTTCCAAGTGAGCTTTGCATTGTCCATTGGTGAGCTATGTAGTGTAGTGTGGTGTGCTTTGCTTTATTAGCTTTTTTTTTTATTTTAAAAAAGTGGTGAGCTTTGCATTGTTCCTTGGTGAGCTTTCCATTGACAGTTGGTGAGCTTTGCATTGATAGTTGGTGAGCTTTACACTTTGACCGCCCATGACCAATGGCCATCACCGATGACCCCCACTATTACCGTGGACCGGTGGTTGAGCGGTGGTTGAGTGGTGGTGTTATTTTTTTAACTTTTTTTATTTAAAAAAAGTGGTGAGCTTTGCATTGACAGTTGGTGAGCTTTGCATTGGTAGCTGGTGAGCTTTGCATTGGCAGTTGGTGAGCTTTCCATTGGCAGTGTTGTGTGTTGTGTCATCTCATTGAAGCATGTCATCTTACCATAAGGTGTCATCTCACTGGAGTCAATCCCATATATATATATATATATATATGTATGTATATATATATATATATGTATGTATATATATATATATGTATGTGTATATATATATATATATATATATATATGTATATGTATATGTATATGTATATGTATATGTATATGTCTGTGAATCATTCTACAATTCTAGCATGGTACCACTCAGCGGTTGAGCGTGTAGTTTGTATTTTTCGTTGACTACACGTAGGTAACAAGAAGACAATGATGGAACCATTCCTGGAGAGCATTGAGTCAGAGGAGATGCAAGGATGGCAGACAAATGTTTGATCAACAGATTTTTAAATGTGTCATGATTTGATTATTATTGTACTTCCGCATTACTCTGAAAATATTTTTAAATGGGTCGCGATCCAGAGTCTGTAAATTTAATATTTATCAGAAATTGTCATTTCCAAATGTCAAGTGAAATTTTTATTTATCTCTCGTTTCACCTTAATTTGTATAATTCCGGGTTATACGGATTGGGGTGTTACAGTTCGGGCGCCAAAAACCGAACGCCGAACGCCAAACGCCAAATGCCGAACGCCGACCTAGGTGGTTTAGGTTCCGAGCAAGGACCAGGATTTAAAAAAAAATATCAAAATATTTATTTTGATGCACAAAAATATTTTATGATTTGTAAAAATTGTTTTGATTCTTTGAGAACCGAGACTTGAATTTATTGTCGGTTTTGATCACAAAAGACCAACTCGACTAAGTCTTCAATTCTTGATCTTGTCCTTGAGTCTTTTTGGTCTTGTTCCATGCCATTCTTCATGCCTTGAGTTATTCAACGAAACTCTTCATATCCACGGCGGTTTGGCAATTATCAAAACCTGTCAGAAATGAACACGACTTTAGTTTATCGTACAAAGTGTGTTCCAACAATTTCCCCCTTTTTGATAATGGCAAACAAGACGGGGATATGCATAGGGTTTTGATCTTTTGAAAAAAAATTCCCCCTTAATATATGCATAACCCTTATCCGGTATCAGAGCTTTGATACCAGGATATGCATAGGGTTTTGATCTTTTGAAAAAAAAATTCCCCCTTAATATATGCATAGCCCTTATCTTCCCCCTTTTGACATTAACAAAAAGATTTTTAATAACAAAAACCATAAAGATTTTTATTAATTAATTAAGGGAAATAACGGAGTACATAACGGAAGCACATAAAAAATGATAAAATAAGGAAGAGAAGAAAATAGAGCTAGAGCTCTAGAAATCCGGGGAGAGATCATTGAGAAGTTGTTCTTCGTCAATGTCTTCTTCTTCATCTTCTTCATCTTCATCCCCATCGCCATCATCATCATCATCGGCTTCTTCTTCCTCTTCCTCTTCTTCGGCTTCTTCTTCTTCATCGTCGTCCACCGCGTCATCCCTACCAATGTTTTGAGTCCCGCTTGGTTCACCTCCGAAATTTGGTGGAGGAACATAGGGGACCATTTGAGCGTACGGGTAATTGACAAAGTCAAAATACCCGTGAAGCTCACGGCTCAAGATGTTGACGTTGTGTTCCGTTTTTGTGACGTTGGTGTCTATCCGAGAAAGGGTGGTGGTCAAGCCGCCATTTGCTCGGCTAGATACGGATTTGTCGAAGCGGTGGGGGTCGAGGCAGTGGCTCTCGGTTGGCAGCGAGGACGAGGCTGCGGGAACGTTAGATACAGATTAGTTAGTAGTTAATTATATATATATTTCGGTATATATATATTACCTATTAATATATATATATATATATATATATATATATAAATTGAAAATGGCTAATATCATTTTGGAAAATTATATCTCAGTAAAAAGCAAGTTGATTTTTCTAAATATTAAATTGTATAATTTAATGATTTTTGAAAAATGGTTTAAAATTATTTTTGCAATTATTGAGATATAATTAATATATTTGGGAAATAAATATTTATAAATTCTGGAAATTTATTTTTCCGATTTATAAGTGTATAAAATAGTTACTGGAAGTTGGAAATTAATTTTCATGTTTTTGCAAATTTATTTCAAATTTAAAATGAATTTTGGAATAAACATTGCACTAGGGGCATTGTTGGGGACTTGTCGTGAGGTCCAAAACAAATTAAAAATTTATAAATAACCTTAACTAACCTCCAAAATATAATCAAATAAAACTATAGCTAAGGCAATTAAGGGTCGATCCCACAGAGAAAGTTTGTACTTTTTAAAATCAAATTAGCATGCAAACACGTTGTCACTAAATAAAAATAAAACTAACTACTACACGTATAAAAAAACTTATAAAACCTATAATAAAACTTATAACTAAATAAATATAAAAACTTATAAATATAACTTATATAAACAAAAAAAACTTATAGATAAGCTTAGTAAAAAAACTTATATAATAACTTAAAACACAAAGGGGGGGGGGGTTGGATGAAAAGTAAGTATTTTTGTTTTTTATATTTTTCTTACTTTTTGGTTTTTTTGATTAAAATGGGGAAAACAAGCTCAAAAGATATTCAATTTCTCCAACTAAGGTAACCCAAAAAACACCACCAAGAACCCAAAACAAAATGAAAGAGAGAACAAACACAAGTTGAACATTACACGTATGATAGGCACGTAGAAAATATATTATGTAACTTACACACTTAAAAATAGAAAAGAATTCAAAGGCTCGAGTTGATTCATATCCTTGACCACATATAGAGGATCGTCAACTCTCTATAAGCCCCGGAGTCAAAAATTCAAAGGCCTTTTGGTTACTTTGAACCCCCAGTCACCTCAAGCGCTCAAATAATGATTCCAAAAGATGAAAAAGTTTATAAAAGAGCGAATCTTTCTTTCATTCAACTCCCATGCACAAAGTATTCGTGAAGAACATTTGATACACTTTAATAAACTTTAACGTCTAATGATGAAAATATTTTGCAGGTCTCCTTGAACTACTCAAACATAAGAATTGTAATCTATTCACATAAAGAACAACATTACATATTTTCATTAAATCAAGAGTTGTTTATTGCGCTTAAACAATCCCAATTTTTATGAAAATAACAAACAAGAACACCAAGATATAAACAATCACTCTATAATGAATCTTAAGGAAAACGTTCAACTTATGTGGCTAAGAAGTTCATTACCTTAAAATTTTACAAAACACAAGTCACAAAAAAGATTCACGTATGAATTCGAGAATCACTTAACTAAAATATGTAGCTAAATTAGCTTCAATGATAACCGAATTCGACATACCAACCTACTTATGAAATCAAATTTATAATTCAACCGATTTAACATCAATTTGCGCAAAAATTGAAGAAACTAGTAAGAATCAATTTTCATTCATAAGGGATTTAATATAACATAAAAAACCCATAAAAAACACCAACCCTTTTGGAATTTTCGAAATTCACACAACAAGCAAAAAAAATGTAAATTTGAATTGAAACAACACTTTTACAAAGAAATTGGAGAAGAAATTGAAGAAATAACATATAGGGTTACCAATTATTGAAGAAGAAGAAGTAATTGAAGAATTGGAGCTTGAAGGAACCGATAAACCTCTGGCCGGAGCTTTTGCCGCCGGACGCCGGACTAACTCGCCGGTCATCACCACCTCCGCGGCCTAAGCCGCGGCTCGCAATCGTTGCTGTTCCTCGTGTTTTCCCCCACTCCTTGTTGCAATTCGTCTTCAATTTATAGGCACAGCTTTTCTTCCCGTTGAGAATTGATTGTCGCGCAATTGATGGAGCCGAACGTTGGAGTGTTGAATGTTTCTCCGGTTTTACTCGTTGAAGGAGAAACGGAGACTTCCTTTTCCGTTTGCGTGAAAGTAAAGTGGAGGGAGGAAAGGTTTTCGGCTGATTCTTTGATGTTGGGTTTGGGCTCTGGCCCAAAATCTTTCTCTTCTTCCCAAATTTGATCTGCACTTTGGCGTTTTGCTATACTTTTTTTAAAAAATAAGATATCTGATAACTTGGGTTAGGGAAAAATAAAATAAAAACAATAAGATGTAAAAAAAATGACTATAAATCTACTATTTATGAGAAAAAGAATAAAAGATTATAAAAATGAGAATTAAAATAAAACTAAGCTAAACTACTAAAAATTAAACTCCAAAAATATTAAAAAATGCCCAAAATTGGATAAAAAGTACTAACCCAAACCCGAGTTATCAGGCATTTTCGTAATTCTGTGTTTCCTGGAAATTTATTTTCCAGTTATGCCCCTGCCCGAAAGTCTCCTAATGTATTTAGGATTACTTGGTAAAATTTCATAATTTTTGGACCAATTTATGAATTTTTATGAATTTTAGAAAATATTACCAACGTAGTATTTTTCTAGAATTATCTGGGGCGAGCGCGGTTCGCCCGGTGTATGTATATCTCTATTGCCTGTGTGGATGTATGATATGCGTGGTGGATGATTGTGGCTATAGTTTATTTGATTATAATACGGCCTGCGTGTCATGCCTTATCTCTTAAACTCTCGTTGTAAATCTATTTCTCTCTCTTACCTCAACCGAGGATTCTTTTCTCACGTGGTGGTTAGAAGATAAAAGATTTGATGTCCGTTCGAGAGAATCTAAAGGAATGGAGAAAACTAACCCTTCATTGGGAAGGTTGACTTACCGAAAAACTCAACCATCATAACCATTGCATGAACTCCCAATAGAATCATGACCAATATTTTGAAAATATAGTGTGATTGTCGATTATCCTAACATGATAATCCATTATCAAAATATTCTTTGTCCAAAAATTTAAAATCCTATTTGGTGGAGGGCAACGATAATACTTGATAATCGATTATCATGTTCTGACAATCGACTATCAGACCTCTCTTAAACTTTTGGGTTTGGCAGTGAAACCATGATAATCGAATACCAAAAGGTGATAATCGAATATCTGGTGCTTTTAAAATTTGAGTTCAAAGCTGATAGGATAGATAATCGATTATCATAAGTGATAATCTATTATCACTCAACTAAGACCCAGCCAGTGAAAAACCAACTTGAAAAACCAAGGTCAAAAAACAAAGTGTCCCCAAAAGTAAAATCAAGGTTGAAAAACATTGTGCATGGTATACAATAGAGAAACCAAGACTTGTTTATCAAAAACCAAGTCTTTGAGGTCGTAATTCACAAGTGGTTTTTATAAAAAGATTGTTTAGGAACCTTTTAATTATGCCCTGAAGTAAAGACCAACGCCGAACGCTGAACCTTTTAAGATCATTTGGGAACCTTATAGAATATTGAAAACCACTTGGTTGGTTTGAATGCCGGACACCAAACATCGAATGCCGAACACCAAATGTCGAATGCCGTGGTTTTGGTTTCACTACGTCAAAAACAGATGCTGACAACTGTTCTTTTTAGTAGTCTAACTGTGCTAGTTTCAGTAGTCTTCCGAGCAGCTGTCTGATATATTTACAGACTACTGTCTAAAAACAATTGTGTAATACGGTTGACGACACCTACTTTGTGATGTTTTAGAGTACATGTTTTTGAAGTTGTCCTCGTATGAGTAAGACATCTGTTTTCTGGAGTTAAAGACAACTGTGACGTTTTGTTGTCTATCTATAATGAATATTACTATTGTTTTCGACTTCAAACTTCTATTGTCTGGTGTTGTCGTTCAAAAATATAGACATCTAATTTCAAAAGTAGTTGAAAGATAGATCAGACTGCTGCTTGGAAGACTACTAAACAAAAATAGCATCAGACAACTGTTATCTTGTGTTATATTTCTAAAATGTAGACTACTAATTATGTTGTATTTTAAACAACCGTTTCTTTCACTTTTATAGTGCTGAATAACACTATGCTTTTTTGTAGTTGTCCTAGAAATATTCAAACTATCATTTTACACAGTAGTCAGATTGTAAATCAGACTACTGCTCCGAAGACAACTAAGTATGTTTGCATAAGACAACTGTTATTTTGTGTTGTATTTGTAAAATGTAAACAACTATATTTTTTGTATTTCAAACAACTGTTTATTTCTATTGTCTAACGTTTATTAACAGTACAGGTTTGTGTAGTTGTCCTATAAAGATTTAGAAAACTATTTTAATATATTGTAAACATGTTTCAAAGACTACTATATTTCTATTTACATTTATATTTAATAAATAAAATTTATTTCAATTCCAAAATATTGATCATGAAACAAAAATAAATTCTAAAATGTAGAATATATTGAATAATATCTAAATACATACAATCCAACTCTAAATAACATCCAATAATTTAATATTTACATAAATAAAATCACACTCTAATTATCTATTTGGCACACCTAATTTAGTTATTTGTCCCCTCAATAACATTTTTGAATCCATCTCTTGCTCTAGCAATATTTTCTTGTAAAGCATCCACTTGAGTCCTCAATTTGCATACCATTAAATATTTTCTTGCAAAGCATCCACTTTATTACTTTGTAACAAAATGAACAAACAATTTAGAAGCATCCACACATAAAGCTTTGAAAATTGAAAAAGTAGACTAAACAGAGAAAATAGTTGAATGGTATTTACCAACACTGCATAAAACAAAGCCTGATAAGATATCATCTTCCTCAATCCCAGATACTCGGACTCGTAAGTTCTCCCCAAGCCCCGCTTCTCGCACTTTATCTTCATCAATGAATATGGCAAGAACCTTAACAGGAGCCTTAAGAAGCAAAAGAAATGAAAACTTTGAGATGGTACCACAAAATGAGATTAATATATTCACTCTATTAAGAAAATTAAATGTTCATCAACCTTGTCTTGAACATCTCAATGAAATAGCAACAACCATTTCTTTGTAGCTCCCCAATATGGAAACTCTCCAAAGCTCTTTTGTCCTTATTCATGTCCTAAATCAAATGCAACAAAGGAAGATGAAAAAAAAATTACAGAAAAAAATCCACCATAGTATAATATGATTTCCATTGTCTTCAAATACAAAAGTAAATAGAGTACCAATGATAATCTATTCCCAAACACTAGGCTGAATTTACTAACACATGTCTGTAGCATGTCAAAATAACTGCACAAAATGAACCAATCAAATACGCTCTACAATTCCATATGATTATATGAACCTGAAATTCACAACAATCTTCATAATCAGTGTTTGAATCTGTAAATTGACCAAATCCAGAATTACAACTAAGCATATGACTGAAATTTGAGCCGCGAGAAACTGCAAGTCCTACTCACTCACCTAGATATTGTCTCTTCATTATTCTTTTGATCGTCCTTATGAGCTTTCTCTTTTATCTGTTTCAATGCCGTCATCAGAACATTGATATCTCTGCAATTCCGTACGATTTTTTTCAAAATCAGACAAAATCAATCAGTTTATTGGACATTAAAGCATGTAAACCTAACATAAATCACACATAATCCATGGGGGTGGCTGGTAGCGAACCTAGAACAACAACAACAACAACCCAGTTAAATCCCACAAGAGTAGGGTCTGGGGAGGGTTGTGTACGCAGACCTTGCCCCTACTCGGAAGTAGAGAGGCTGTTTCCAAAGAGACCCCCGGCTCAACGTCGAAAGTTGCATTGTTTGACTAACTGCTACTTCATTAATTAAAAAAGCGCAGATAGTTTAGAGATCCATTTTGATTTATTCCATGGGAATGTCAACAGAATTTATTCCAATGTCCATATTTTCTGAATCAGGGCAGGGAAGGCTTTTTGTGGAAGGGAAAATCTATCACAAGTTTGATATGAAGCCTCACAATGAAAACATTGAAAGCTATGGGAAACTATGCCGTGAAAGGAGTCAAAAAGACTACAGATCTCTAGCTATTAGCCTATTATTACCAAGAAACAAGAAAAACAGCAGCTATTCATACTGGGAAACTATGCCGTGAAAGGAGTCAAGAACACCAGCAGCTATTCATACTAGGAACTCATACTGTGTTGGTTTTTTGTGGGTGTTTTTTGTTGAGGAGGACTTGAAGCCATGGAAGAACTGTATGAGTAGGCTGTTGGGGCTGGGAAATGCCCAAAAATGCCCAGAGCACATGATTCTTGACTGCTTGTGTTTGAAGTGTTAATTGCGTGAACCTGGAGCTCTGGTTCATGCTTCGTGGAGGATTTTGAATCTATGAATTGTGTCAAATAGTGGGGCTGGAACTGCAATTTAAGCTTTGGACTGGTTTCAACATGCCAATCTTTGGAAACCTTCTAGAGTGGCTGAACTCAACCTCTGACCAGCTAGGTTGGGGCTGCCTTTGACCTTACTGAAATTCAGAAACTGCACTACTTTTGGTGATGAGTTTGCTGAATTGAAGGCAAGCTATGGATTGGTTCTTACTAACACTTGACGGCAGTTGGTATATGGCTTAAAACCAGACTGACTACTGGTTTATATACCTCTAACAACAAGTACTTTGACTCGCTGGAATGGACAATAATACTTGCTGTTCTTGTCCTGCGTGACTAAGGATTGGGGACAGGGCTTGGCATGTCTTGTTGCTGGTCCTAGAAGTCCTATTGCCGGAGAAGATGCTGGAACCATGGGCTGGATAACGTCACTTCCTCGCTGTGGAAGTTGACAGTGGAAAATGCTACTGCCATTTGTTTGAGGGCTGTTTGGGCAGTCCTGTTGTGGGTGGGTTTGCTTATGGTGTACCTGAAACAATTTGGAAGTTTTATGGTGTCCCTGGGCAGCATATTGGCTTGTATTCCCCGCTGCTTTTGGATCTGTTTGCGGCTGATTTTTGTTCTAAACTGAAGCTGATTCTTTACCCGGTTTTGCCTCATGGTGGTAACACCAATCCGATTGGGGTTGGTTATTATGTTGTATTTTGCCTTTTTGGTCCGGCTGGCATGCTACCTAATGCTCGTCTTGACCCTTTCGGTTGGGGTATTTGGAAGAGCTTGGGTTATCTTGGCTATGCTGGTACCCCCAATATATTCTCCCTTCATGCCCTTGTTTTGCCTACCGTACTATTGTTGGGATGATGCATGGTACTAGAAGCTGGAAGTGGATTATGCAAGAGCCTGGACGTGGTCTACTTTGATAAAGTGTGATCACATTGATGTTTATTTGATGGTTCTTTATTTTGTATGGCCTGCGTGCCAAGTTTTGCATGTCACTTGTATTCTCTTTGGTTTTGTTGTTGATGTTTGTTGTCTTATATATGCATGGAACCATACCATTCTTATGGTTCGGCATTTGACATTGATGTACCGTTCTGATTATGGGTAATAATAATTTACATTTTACCCTTAAAAATAGTTCTACACTATATAAATATACTACTATTACAAGAGTCTTCTATTCTTATAACTATGCAAAACAAAACCATATGAAACATACAACTTACAATAGAATACTATTTCTTATAAGTATAAAAATAGTTATAAATTGAAAAACTAGACTACTAATTAGAAATAGTAGTTTTAACTAATTATTGACAACTGTTGCAACAAAAACTGTATTTTTAGATGAAACGGAATACTAATAAAAGATTACCATTTCTCACAACTTTAAAAACAGTTCTACCCTTAATTTATAGATTACTGTTACAAAGAGTCTTCTATTCCTATTAGAAACAATAGTGGCAAAAAAACCATATGAAACAGACAACTAGCATTTGATAACTGTTTCTAATAAGTTTAAAAACAGTTCTAGACTAAAACATCAGACTACTGTTTATATAGAGTATTTTTAACTTTCTATTGACAACTGTTGTAATAAAAACTGTATTTTGAACTGACACAGACAACTAGTGATAGATTAGCGTTTCTCGAAACTTTAAAAATAGTTTTAAAGCATCATAGCTAGACTACTGTTCTGTAGCCAAGAAAAACTCACAGTAGTCTGTTATTTTAAACTACTGTGTTTCCATACACAGTAGTTAATCAACAGTTGTCTGATACTGTTTTTGGTGTAGTATTTGGTAAAGACCAGGGGTTTTGGAAACTTAGAAATAGTTAAGAAAAACACTTATTTAATGCATAGAAAAGGTTTCATGATTTTATAAAAAAGTATTTTGACTCTTGAGAACCAGGACTTGCTTGGATTGTCGATTTTTTCTCACAATAACCGACTCAACTAAGTCTTCAAATCTTGATCTTGTTCTTGATTCTCTTGGTCTTGTGTCATGCCTCACTTCACGCCTTGAGTTATTCAACAGAACTCTTCATATCCACGGCGGTTTGGCAATTATCAAAACCTATAAAAAACAAACACGACTTTATTTCAATGCAATGCAAGTGTAAACATATTTTATACACGTTTAAGAAAATCAATCTTCATGCCATTTTTCTGTTGACCACTGATGTAGACATATTTTATACACTTTTTAGATATAATTTGGAGTAGTTTTAAATCCCATTTTAATTTGATTTCAAAATTTTATTTTAATCTTTCGTTTTATTTTGGTTGAGCGGTCCTATGCTAGTTTTATATGTTTTGCAGGTATTTTAAGCTCATTTAGATGCAATGAGACTGATTGCAAGAACGGAAAATAAACTTGGAAGCTTGGAATCAAAATAAAGTGAGGAGATTCGAAGAAAAGAAAAGAAAAAAACAAAAAGAGCAAGGCTGAGATTGAAATCCGGACCACGCACCACGTACTCCATTTAATATAAATCGGCCTCTTGACTTTATAACTTGTTCGTGCTGCGGCCAGGAATATAAGAAGAAAAAAAGGACAAAACACCAACATTGCATGTGGAATCAAACACAGGATCAAACTATGCGACAAACAACACCATTGTCATGTGAGCTACAAAATATTTGTTCACTATTGGTACTATTGTTTGTATATACTCCGTATTACGAATTTTCATATAAAAATCCCTACCCTATCTTCTCCAAAAGGTTGAACTTCCCAAATTTCTTATCCTTCCTCGTCATTTCTGAATTTCTTTTCTCTCTAAATTATCTTCATCTTTCTCCTTCAAGCACATAAAAATTACTCCCTCCGTCCCGGAGTATTCGTCCAGTTTTGACTTTTGGAACTGTTCATCTAAGCACTTTGACTCATCAAAGAAGTGCATTGGATGATGTGTAAAAATGAAAGTGGACAAATACTCTGGGACGGAGGTAGTATCACATCTTCATCATCATTCAACTTTTGGAGCTTCAAGAACACATCTTGAAGTTTTTGAAGGATTTTTCTTCTCCAAATTCTTATAAGATATTGTAATTAATATTTATTTGTTTAAGCTTCAAACTATGAACTTCTAAATTTCTTTGGGGGTGAGAAGTTGGTATAAAAGTCGAAGTAGTTATTATTTAAGTGAACTGCGAGAATGTTCCTAAATACTTCTCTGCACCCCCCACACTCTATATAAAAATACGTTGACATTCTAACTTTTATTAAAACAATGGACAATTACTTTACCAATTTCTACTTGTAATATTTCCTCATCTAAAACTGTGATGTTTGAAACTCTCATTTTACACTTGTATTTTATCTCTCAAGTTCTGGTGAACCAGTATAAATTCAGTGTGCCCCTTTCTTATGTTCTTTACTTTACTCTCGCTTCGTTTTTTATTTCCTATGATTTTGTTTAAACGTTATTCACCCCCTTTATTATGATTTTTAGTAAAAGAAATAAAAATTAAAATGATAGTGGTAAAAATAAGTTATTTTCAAAGTTTTTATAGTGAAATTTATACTCAAATTGTAGGTCTCGATGATACAAGTTCAACAACGTATTCTGCACGTGAATCAGATTTGCAAAACCCAATGAAATCACTACCCCAAGAGTGAAAACACAGTAACATAATAACATAAAATATAACTTTGTCATGGAGTTAAAATAACATATTCAATATTGGTGTTTGTTGGGTGATCTCAGAAAAACATGACTATACTTGTCAAGTTTGATTAATTTTCTTTTGATCACCATCCTAATTAATTGTAAAATATTTTTAATTTTTTTGATCTATAAATACCAGCTTCATGCAATCATGCCCAATTGAGTTATTACAAAATTTTTATTTCTTCTACTACATTTTAAAGTTTTTATCAAATATTTCTTCAACGTTTTTTTTTAAAATTTCATTCTCGCAATTTTTAGTTATTTTGTTCAATGTACTAACGAAATAGTGCAGAGAACAAAAAAAACATACTGGTTAAACTATTTGAAAACCTATACGTAAAAAAAATAGAATCAAATGATCACTTGTCTTTTTATTGAACCAAAGAGTCAAAAATTTAAATTTTAAAATATATGTTGAAGAGAAAAAATTAAAATTTTAAATTTCAGCTAACAAAATGTTTTGTAATAAATAATCAAAATTTTTTAATTGAATGAGCAATTTTTCTATGAAGCATTCAAAAATATGTTCTATGGGTCATGAAATAAAAATGTAAATACAATAAATATTTTGAAAAAACATGATGTTCACATGTTATAGAAGATAAAGAAGAAAATTAAAAGAATGATTAGAGTGAGGTGAAAGAAGTTAAAGAAGAAAATGATGTCACATTAAAATTTTTATGATAATGATATAGAGATGAATAGGACAAAATCATTAGAGTATCATTAATCACTTTTCTTTATTCTTCTTCCACATCATTTATTTTTGATGTCACATTGTTTCCTCCCACATTATCTACTTTTGATGTCACATCATTTAATTTTTTTAGTATAAAAATCAAGTGCTAGTATACATTTAAATATACTAAAAATAAAGCTCATAACACGTTGGATCAACCCGAAACCAATATCGCGCAATAATTCTAAACACGAATCCAAACTTATTCAAATCCAAAGTGATCAAACCCAATCCGGCCTATCCAACTAACTTGTCAACTCTAAATGTATTTATGGTGATACTAAGAAGGTTCGTCATTTTTTTGGATCAACCTTAAATCAACCTAAAAATTTATTTCCACGGAAAATACCACTTAAGAAATTCCCTACTTTTTTTCCTTTGTCACAACAATAATACTATGTTTGGTTCAAGAAATTTGAAAGAGAAAAGGAATGAAAATGAAGTAAAAAATAGTTTTTCATGTTTTGTTAGAGAGGAAAAGTGGAAGGAAAAGAAAATGAAAAGACAAAGTACTAAGTGGATGGAAAACCAAATTCTTCCCATTTTGGTGAGGAAAATGTGAGAAAATCATTTTCTTTTCATTTCCTTCCAAAATACTTGAACCAAACATAGTGTAAAGGAATACAATAATCAAACTCAGGGAAGTGTCACTGTAACACCCCAACCCGCGTAACTCGAACCGACGAGTTAGCGAATCGGGTTGTTACTAATTTGGTATTCACATGCAAAATATTTTAAAAACACTTAAAAATAGAACAAACATTTATATTTATTTAAAAACGGTTCATCGTTTAATCGGAGTAAATAAAACAAACGTTGCGAAAGCCTTTAAAACAACATTCAACATCCTAGTAATTTAAGTGAACAAATCCAACAAACTATATTTAATTTAAATAACAGCATCGGGCCATCCTCCAACGTCACGCCTCACAGTTCTCCAGGCTGCTTCTCACTCAGTCCTTGATCCCTACCTGTAAAAATATAGGGAGAGTGGAAGTATCAAACGCTAGAACTAACTCACAGACTAGCACCCATCAATATATAATCACACAATATCAGAAGAATCAGCAAATATCATTATCGAATATCATGATCAACTATTTATTATTATATTTAGCTCTTGTTGTTCATCTTCAATTAACCCTATAGGCTAAGATTCCTTTTGGCTAACTAAGTCATGGACACTCGGACGGATCCCCCGAGGCCACGCTTGATGGAACCCAAAGAGAAACCTCAATGGGCGGGTTGGAGCCCCTACAAAGGAATCCCTAAGTAGGCTAATGACTCCCGTACGTACATTTTTAACCCAAGACCTGTGAGTTATGCGAAGCTCGCCCCACCAGGCCTAAATCCTAAATCTTAAACCTTATGAATTCAGTTTAACTCAAACCTTCCTAGATATACCAGGAGACATATTCCCATAATCCAATTCAATCACATAATTGTCTTTACTTAACTTATTAGTTTAAACAATGACTTAGATTAGTTTGTAGTCTTTAATTATAATTTAGAGGGGCATAGGATAGAAGAGGGCTTGCTTGCAGATTTATAAAACCTAACACTTTAATTCCCGTTGAGAAAAACCAAGATCCAGCGGTAAGAAGCAGCGCCACCCAACAGTGACTCCTCACTGGATTGCAACAGCGAGGCTCAGCGACAGCAGCCAGCACAAACTATGGACAGTAGGGCGGCTCGACGATTTCAGCAGACACACAACAGCCATAGCACCCTCGCCGAAAAACGGCAGTGTGAAGACGGCCAGGCAAAACGGCGAAAACCAGAACCAGATGGCAAGGGAGCAGAGTACAGAGAAAAGATCATAACAGAATATCCCCAAATTCCGAACTCAATCATCCAATTAATACAACAATTCAATTCACAAATCCAACATCAATTGCACGAAAATATACTAACGGATCCTAATCTACGAATCAATTCTAACGAGAGATAATTCACTCACCTCGATGGGGTTGATGAAGAAATCCAAATTTTAGCCCACTCCAATTTGGAATATGATACGGTTTGGCCTTTCCACTTCATTTAGAAGTTGACCTCCTCCATATATAAGTATTATATTTAATATTATAAATTTATAATATATTGTAAAATATTTTATATTTATTTATTAAATTGTAATGTCTATTTTGCCTAAAATGTTTTACACGAAATTCCAAACTTGATAATTTATTTACCATTGGTCACCTTTTCACGAGACCTATCCAAAAACCCAAATTTTGTTGGATAATATTATGTTTACGTCGTATTTGTATTTTATTCGTCTTCGTTATAATCTTTTGGGTTTTGGGTCGGCCAAACTCCTAACCTTCGCAACTCAAATTCACACGCGGGACATGTCGTTAAACTCGTTTCGTCGAGACCTTCAATTTGAGTATAAACTTGGACGATTTAGAAGAACATTTTAAAATACTTGGTCTGACCCTGAGTGTTTGTCCACTTTTGACTTTTGGAACTGTTCATCTAAGCACTTTGACTCATCAAATTCTCTCAATGTGTAAGCCTAAAAGTAGTCATGTGTGATCTTGTTTGATTCGTCTTAACATATAGATTATTAATATATAATTTTTATTATTTTTTAATATACAAATTACAAGATAAAATGGATTAAAGAAGTGCATTGGATGGTGTGCAAAAATGAAAGTGGACAAACACTCAGGAACGGAGGGAGTATCTTATTTAGCATTTTCGTTTTGACATTTATTTAATTTATAAATGAAAATTGGAATTACGATTTATTAGAAATTCATTATAAAATTTTAGGCTATATTTCGGGGCATTACAGTCACACCCCAAAAACTAACTATAAAGGTGGGAAACCCCAAACTACATAAACCCTTCACCAGGTTTCTCATATGACCAGTTAGGGACAAGGACAACATTAAATCATTCCGTAACAAACTCACCATTGAAAACATTAATGCACACCAACAATATGAAACTTAGCAAACAAAACATGTACGGAGTAAATATTAGGAGAATAGCCAAAACAAAATAACGCATTGCAAGAAATAGATCCTCTATTAGCAGAACACGATAAAAGAATGCAATCTGCCAAGGCAGCTAGAATTCCCACATATTACTTTGTACGTTACATCATACATATGTTTTTGTTAGTGTTTTATTTATAGCACTAATTTAAACAATTCATGTGATATAGTAGCAAAGAAAAAAGATATCTTGTGATATTTTTCTTTAATGATCTTCTCATACTAATGCACATAAGAGCATTGAAATTTAAAAATAAAAGTGGAACAAAAATATATGATAATTAGAATGATGATACACAGAACAATCAACTTGTTGAACAAAGCTTTCGCAAACCCATTTCTGAAGTGACAAGTCGCAACAATACGTGAACCAGCTCTCTCACCTTGGCTTCCCTGGCCAGATAAAAGTGAAAAAAGATTACACAACAGAAAAAAATGATTCCGAAAAAACAAAATTAAGACAAAACATGATCTGCCACACATTAGACTGCACTGCTGGGAACAAATAGGTATCAACTTTTCCACAATTTTGGTGTAAAGGTGAAGCAAAATGTAATAAATATGTAAGTTGTTGAGGGAAAAATATATTTTTATTTAAAATTAAAAGGTACACGCCAAAAAGGAAATGAGAAGTTGACTTTGGGACAACAAAAAATGAAAATGGAAAGATTAATTTTGGGACTGAGTATTACTCAACCCATGAATCTTTTAAAGAGGGTGATACACCGAAAATTGAGTTTCATTTACATATATCAGAAATAGCTGGGAATGAAATTGGGTACAAAAAAGTTTTTTGTACAATTCTTCAAGCATGTGGGATCTATACTGCAAACGAAAGAGATGTAAAAGCATGGTAGTGGTCACTCAGCCACTGAAGACAAGGCAATGGAATTAGACTGCATTGGTTAAGGGTTAATCATGATTGTTATGAATTATGTGTTCCAGCACAAATAGTTGTAGATTTGTAGGATGAAAAGGTCAAGGATTGAGAGGAAAATATGTATTCCAGTACAGAATTGTATTCATTAAAATTTTCAAAAATTCTCCAGAACTTTTGAGTTTCTATCATAAAAAACATCCCCATTTTCTCTTTAATTAGGGATGTTTATTGAAAGCCCCGGCTATGAGTGGCTGGTCCCAACCCGGGTAAAGGACAAGGGTTGCGGTAGTCTAGTGAAATTTCGTCATATTTTATGAGATGAACCAAGATAAGAATTTTGTTGCAGTGTTCCCTGTAAGCAAGGGATGCTAGATAGTCAACCGAAAAAGTATCGCCATATCTTCACCTGGAGTGATGACGTGGTGCCATGTAAGCAAGGGCTCTCTCATTTTTGGACGGACGTTTGAAAATAAAGTTTTCATTCCTTTTGAAACAATGAATGGTTCACACATTATTTCTCTCTCATCCAAATAAATTTCAACCACATAATTTGATTTTTTCTTAAACACCGTGGAAAAGCAAATGAAAATTTGAATAAAAAAAATTTACTTTTTCTTAATTTCTGTAAAAAGAAAATAGGACTTTATATTTTGTGATGGAGGAAGTAACCATTTTACGGGTTTTAGGGTCTAATTCATGCAAGTTTGTGGTACTGGAGGAACCACCTCTTTAGGGTCTAATTCACTTTATTTTGTGATGGAGGAACCACCTCTTTCCATGTCCTCTTTGGTCTACCCCTTCCCACATTCCCGCCAAGCACTCGAAGCCTCTCACATCTCCATACAAGAACCTCAGCACTACATCGTTTCACGTGCCTAAACCACCTCAGTCTAGCTTCCCACAGCTTACTCTCCACAGAAGCCACTCCCACCCATTCCCGAATAGTATCGTTCCGAATCCTATCCAACCTCATATGCCCACACATGACACATCCAAGCTCACTTTAGAGAACATTCAGAAATTCCTACCTTCTTATTTACCTATGTAATGGTATGTTTTCATATCTCGCACCCCCCCCCCTTCCTTTTTCACATTCATCACGACATTATCACTCATTTCAAGTATGGTTCATATTATCTCCTATATAAACATCTACCACTCTATTTTCATTTTGTTGAATATCGTGTCGTGGCCCCTGAGATGATTTACTAATCATAGTTTTTATGTTTGTGTTCCAGAGACTACAAGTCGTATTTGACGAAGTAGAATCATCTTTAAGCACGAGAACCAGAGTCTAGGTACTAGCAATTGGATCCTATCTAACAAGTCACACACTCATTTTTCGAAAATAACATAAATAAACAAAAATGACGTAGTGTAATTGAAAAATTGAAAATAAAACTCAAATAAAATGTGTTGAAAGTTTAAAAACCCTTTTCCTATAAAAAGCAAAGCCAATTTGAATAGCTTTTAATTTATTGAAATTCCATCTGATATAACAAAAGAAAACGAGAGGATATCATTTTTATATACTCCCTCTAATGAAGTATACACTTTCCCTTTTCCTGTGTCTATGAATAGGCCTCACACTTCTCCTATTTCCTCGTTAAGAAAATGAATGTGTCTCATAACATTTCTCTAGCATCTAAAAAAGTTCAAAACACTCACATTTCATATCTCTATGAAGCCAAATTAAGTTGTTAGATAATACTCCCTCCGTCCCACAAAAAAGTTCCCATTTTGATGTATTTTTGGTCAAACACTTACACACTTTGACCATAAATTAAATATAATCTAAATAAAGAAATGCTAAAAAAATTTGAGATATCAAAACTAGATCCTAAGATAAATCCAATTATATTAAATTTATTTTATAATTCAATATACCTTTCTCACAATTTGAAGTCAAAGCGTGTAAATAGTTGACTAAATACTATTCAAAATGGGAACTTTTTTGTGGGACGGAGGGAGTATAATATTTAATGTAATATTGTAATATTGAAGAAATTTTGATCACCCAAATATTAGGTTATACCTACATTATTTTCCAATGGCTATTTTATAACGTGTAGGTACATACTTTGAAATAAAAAATAAATAGATTCACATGCGGTGAAGTTAGTCATCGATGTTACATGTATAGTTCTCTATTTTTTCTCTCTATTGTTTTTTGTGTTCCTCATCATGATCATGTTTAGGCGTTTATTAATGTTAACATAAACTTCATTGCAGGATGGAGGAAGTATTAGAACTAACACACATTTTCTTACTATTTTCATCTCCTACTAAACTTTATATTGTTTCCACTATCTAGCGGGTGGCAACTTACTAATCTCACGCAGTAGCATCTAAATGTGGTAAATAAGACTTGCATAGGGCATGTACCTTTTTGCTCTTTTTTTCTTGCACATATTATTTAGTTTTGTATTTACTATACTCTTCATTACATTAAAAATTATAAATAACGATGTGGCAATAATACATTGACAAAGTGTACATGATATGTAATTGCCTACAATTTATCAATATAGATGAGGGGGTACTAGAAACAAAAAACAGAAGAGAGGTACTCTGACCAATTAGATATTTTGACAATGGCTGATTTGTTGTCATGGAGAAAATACTACCAAATTTTATTGCTCATCAAAAACAGGTTTAGATATCAGAAATAGCCATACCATACATGTTGGGACTATTTCCCAAAATTGTCCAGCCCAAGTTGTTTTTTTTCAAGGTGCATGAATTAGCATTTGGAAAGACAAATGTGGTGATTGGAGTTATTGCATTTGGGAGGCTCTTCATTTGTCTTAAGTGGGAGCTTGGGTTTTAATTTAATGCTTTTTCTCCTATATTTAAAGCCTTGCATAGGCTTTGGAAAAAGGTGGTGGGGCTGGCACGAGCAAGAGAAAAGAAGAAAAAAATTCTAGCCATGTGTGCTCTTTTATGAGAGAGGTTGTACAACTTGTTTATTTATACAATATTTTAGGGGTTTTTCTTTGCACCAAAATATTGTATGTGGGTCTAGGATTGGTGTTGTATAATCCTTGATGGTTAAGTTGTACTTGCACTATTTTTATAGTGGTGGTTTTACCTCTGTAAAGAGGGTTTTTCCGGTTTCAATCATATTTGGTCTCATCTCTGTTTTTTTGGCTTGCGGTTTCTTTGTTCTTCGATCGACTACTAGTTTGTTCCTTTCGTTGCGTGGGAAGTTTTGTGCTAAATTTCCCAACAAAGTGGTATCAAAGCTTTCGGGTTAGGTTCTGGTGGTTCTAGTAGTTTTCGAGGATGTCGAGTTCGGGTTCGGGGTCTCACTTTGCCATGCCTAAGTTCGATGGAAAGAGTAGCTTCACTCTTTGGCAAAGAAGGATGAAGGATCTCCTTGTGCATTTGGGTTTGTCTAGAGCCCTTAAAGGAGATGAGGCGAAGCCGGAGAAAATGAGTGACAATGATTGGCAGGAGTTGTGCGAGAAGTGTGTCAGTACTATCCGGTTGTGCATTGCAAACTCTGTCGTTAATTGTGTTATTGACGAGGAGTCTCCGGCGGCGATATGGGAGAAGTTGGAAAAGCTGTACATGGCAAAAAGCTTGACCAACAAGCTTCTTTTGAAGAGGCGGTTGTATCGGTTGCGGATGGAGGATGAGGACACCTTGGTTGGACACATGAATGTGTTCAATGGTTTAATAGACGAGCTGAAACGGGTTGATGTTAAAATCAATGAGGAGGATCAGGCATTGCTTCTCCTTAATTCTCTCCCAGATTCCTATGAGGTTTATGTGGATACCATATTGTGCGGCAAGGACACGATTACCTTGGAGCAAGAACAATCAGCTTTGTTGTCGTTTGATGCGAAGAGGAAAGACAAAGCTGGGGTACGGAGTGACGATGCAGTCGCGGCGATTGCTCATGGGGGTGGGAGATGTCGTTCGTCTATTAGGGACTACAAATCAAAGCACGGGAGGTTTAAGTCCCAGAACGCACCTAAGAACGAGGTGCATTGTTACAAGTGTGGCGAGCTCGGGCATATTAGGAGGGATTGTCCTAAGAAGCGTGAGGGGAAAAATGATGCCAACTTGGTTCGAGATGGAGAGACTGGTAGTAGTTCTCTTGGAAATGAAAGTGACGAATTGTTCATGGTCGCTAACGGTTATGATGAAGCTTCCGGCAATGATTGGGTGCTTGATTCTGCATGTGTGAGTCACATGTGCTCAAGGAAGGAACATTTTGAGAAACTTCAGGAAGGCATGACTAAGATTTTGAGGTTAGCGGATAACTCGACGGTGGCGGTCATGGGTGTTGGAGTTGTGAAAATGAAAATGTTCGATGGGGTGGTGAGGACTTTGGGTAATATGGCGTACGTTCCCAAGTTGCGGTGGAATCTCATCTCACTTAGTCAATTGGACTCCGAGGGGTACGAGTACAAGGCTCGCGGGGAAGTGGTTAGAGTGACTAAGGGTAGCACAGTTGTGATCAAGGGGGAGCTAGATCACGGTTTGTATCGTATGGTGGGTCATATGGCTAAAAGCGGCTCAGATCATAAAAGTAGTCGTCGTGTCTCGTTCGTGGATGAGGCGACAATGGTTCATGGCTTCTAGGTTCTTGCCGAACACACTTGGGCTCGAGGGGGAGATTGTTGGGACTATTTCCCAAAATTGTCCAGCCCAAGTTTTTTTTCAAGGGGCATGAATTAGCATTTGGAAAGACAAATGTGTTGTTATGGAGAAAATACTAACAAATTTTATTGCTCATCAAAAATAGGTTTAGATATAAGAAATAGCCATACCATACACAATATGTAGCCCTTCCAAAGAATTAAGTACTAGTATTCCATTTTAGAGTAAGTTATTCCTTCGTGTAATGAAATAATTCACGATTTTTAGGGTATTTTTAATTCATTTACTTATTTAGAGTAGAGAGAATAACTAATGTATGTTTGACAATGACAATGGAATACAAATTGAATTGTTTTTCCTCATTTAAGTCAAGCATCCATGGATACCCTTTGACTGGACTGTGAACTATTCACAATCCATAAATGAATTATGTATTTGTGAAGTAATAGGCATACCTTGATATGACTAGTTCACTAAAGGAAGGGAAAAGAACGATCAAATGCAAATGGTTTGCACGATTCTCCTGTACAAGGCCACTCTTTAATTTTGGGTGTAAAGGAAGAAATGATGCACTATCTGATTGAAGCACAAGACAAGCCAGCTCCTGGAGAACAAAAAGAACTTCTTCTAATCTTGCTGCAGGCAGTGGACAATCCCCTAAAATTTAAGGTTTCAAGGTATGACACAACATAAATGGGAGACAAATAATTCAGACCATGGCGTAAGTAAATGTTTTACCTAGTTCATTCTCATCCTTCAAAAATTTATCTAGTATATATTCACATCTGATCAACAATGTTCCAATTGAGATTTTGCTAACTTCGGAACTGGTTGAATTTTGGTCGCTTGTTCTCTGCCTGAAAATA